TTCAATAAGTTATAAATTAGTACTTTTAAGAAGCAGATTACCAGATAAACATTAGAACAATCTGGACATACAAGCTGTACATCGCCTGTTTTACTACAGTAATAATGTGAGACAAAAGTGAACATTATTGTTGGCGGTTTGAACGCAAGAGCAAAGAAAAAATGCGATACTATACTGAAAACAACTACAAACTGCTACAACAAAAAGCAAAAAAAAAAATGCAAAAAATAATTCAGATATACCCGAAATGGCATTCAAGAAATTGCAGTGATCGCTTTTATACCAACTCTGAATAGAAACTCTAAAAATTTTGTTGCTTCTTGCTACACAGAAACAAGGAGTGGTGCAAGGAGTGCAGTAGATGTATCGCACCACAAGAAATCATCGATTAGCAAAAACAACTTTATACTGATCTGAAAGATGTGAGAAGCAACATAGCTCTGCGCAATAGAACAGACTTCTTTTTTTGGGTTCTATGTACTTAGCAATGTTTACTCGGCAATTTCGTGTTTTTAAATTTTTTGGTTTAGATATCAAATTGCCTTCTTCCGGCACTGCTTGCCAAGAAAGAATTTAGTCAACTTTATTGCCTCATCCCCTTTATCAAACTGCTGCTATTTGGCATAATAACAAATACAAAGAATCATAGAACCACTCATAATGACCAATGTTTTACAAAAATAAAGCTCATGCTACCTTAAAATTAAAACACGTGTCTTCACTTTACTTCTAAGCCATAATTCATCTTCTAGGTAAACGGCTTATGGCAATATGATTTCGAAAATTCGATGTATTTGCTTTTTTTTACCAACCTTCAAGAGCACTTTTGAGATCAGTTTTGTAGAGTTGCCAAAGTGTTGTCACTGAAAGTGTCCCGACATTGAGCTCTTGCGGAAATTGGTTTAACACCGGAGCATAAATGTTCTTATCGTCCTCAATCACCCGCATCATCAGTTCCATTATCTCATACCAGAACTTTATCCCGTTAACGTCACTTGGATCAATTTGTTCACAGCACGATTCAAACATCAACTGGTACGTTGCCTACAAAAAAAAATAATAAATAAATAAATAAATGATTAAAAACGCAAGTTCCCGCCCCGATCTGCACTTAATAATACCCTTCATCGTCAAATATTATACATCCGTAAATTACGTGTTACAAGCTCTGGAAATGCAGGGAATTTTGAAAAATTTTTGACGATCCTTAACAGCTATTTCTGCTTTTAAAAATCCGTTGCCTTAGCAAGAGGTCATTGAAATATCTTCCCAAAAAATCGACCTGCATGCAAGCTTTTGCGCATTCACAAACAACATTAGAAGCACGGGGTGGACTTGGTAGTTCCAAAACCTTCATCCGGAAAAACGTTATTGACGTCAACAGATCGACAGTAGATTTCAAATCAGCTAATTTTGCACGCGATGAAGCAGGAAAATATTTCTGTAAAATTATTTTTAATTAGTAGCTTATTGAATAATATTTTTGTTGTAAATTAAAATTAAGAACAACAGCAAAAACCTTTTATCAGGAAAGTTTAGAAAACGTTTATCCAAATTATTTCAAATGTTATTATGAAATCTTGTTTTTCGTTGCTATGTAGCAAGTTGACTGTTTTTTTAACAATATTAGAAGGAACTTACACGATACATAGAAAGATCAATTCTAAGTGAATTATGCAATGAATCTAATAATTTAACAAAGCGATCTTTGCCAAAATTTGAGGCACTAAATCGATCAGATGCTGATACAGTAGAAGTGGCAGTGGTATGAGCATAATGAGCATTAATATTTGCAAGTAAGGTAGATAATACTGCAGGAACACCTGGAGACGTGTACCGAGTACAAAGGCAAGCGAAATGTGTCATAGCCTGCAAAATTTAATCCATTAAGATATACTTAAATAACTGCTGCAGTCTTAAGACAATAAATAAGCTAAAAATCTTTGTAATCAAAACTAATCAAAAAAAAAAATTTTTTTAACTTTATATTAATAAAATGAATAAAATCTGAAGGAAAAAAAATCACAAGTGGTACCTGGTATATGCTTTCAATACCATAACGCATAGCAAACTCATCTACAATTTCTTGACCGATATCATCAAAGTAGATCTTCCAACTGTCCGTCCCTTTAGCATCTGGAAGTCGTACTTCCTCTTGGTCAGTACAGTGGTTCTATAAATTACTTTCTACTGAACTGCCAAATACGGCAAATTCTATATGTTATTCAATCTCAAAAAAGTATCTAGAGAAAGTTACAGTAATTTAATCTTGTAGACACCTTAAAAAGATGTTCGTGAAGGCAGGTGTACTGTATGTGGTACGGTGCCAATTTTTCCTCCCCCTTGATTTCAACGCTTATATGCAACCGAATGGCACCACTGACTGCAGATTTGTCCGTTCGTTTTTCTAAAAAGAAAGATTGCATTTCCCTGTGCAAAAGAGACCCTTTTTTCAAAAAAAAAGTCATTGTTTCGAAACGTTGTGCCTAAATTGGTCAATGAAGTAAATCAAAAAATCGTTGGTTTACTGCAGAAATAAGAAATCAAGAAACCGTACCAAGATTATACCACATATCCATCTCGCCGCATAGTGTCCTTACATCGATGATTGCTTGGCCTAGAAAATCATCAGATTCTCGAGTAAGTTTCTGCCGTAAGCGACTTTTCAGATCGTGATCCTCATCCCATACCCGAATTTTTATACGATCTGCTGAGTTGTGACATTCACTGTAAAACAAAAAACTTTTTTTCCAGAAGTCACATTTGCAGCCGTTGCTATCAGATGAAATTGACGTGAAATAGAGCGTACAAGAAGAACTGTTCGTTCCAGACAGGATTTAACTCTTGATGTATAGTTCTCGTTCGTTTACGTACTTTCCCCACTTGAGCTGTTACATATGGATCACTTTTACCCGTTTTATCCTTGGCGATCAAACCCTGCGCACACATTACTGAAAAAGCAAATTGTTAAATTTGGTAGAAATTTGTTAATATGGTGAGAAAAATGAAGAACAAATTTTTACATAGAACTATAAAATAAGAATATGTTACAAATAAGTAACCCGTCAAAGCAATTTTAGCGCTCCACTTTGATGTGCCTTCCAAAATACTTTGTTTAACCAACTTCAATGTATCGATGTGCGTATCAGGACTAACTTCAAAAATGAGCCTTCAAAAAAAGCCGGTCTTACAGCATTCTGAGATTACTATTAAAATGCATTTGTAAAATCAAATAGGGTTAGTCAATACTGCAAAAAAATTAATTAAACCGTAAATCAAGCCTACCGAATTCTTTCGAAGATTTCAGGCTTATTATTTTCTTGAATAATCATACGATCTCTAATAACTCCCATCAAGGCTTGTGCTTTTTCAGCTTCGCCATGTTTTGAACTTTTTTCCGCAGCTCCTGAAAACAACAGTTTTTTGCAGTAAGTAAAAGCATCTTTAAGGTTTCAGTAAGCCATTATACTGATAATAAAATAATGAATAAGACTGATATACTGACAAGAACGATGATACATTTGCATTATAATATACTTATTACTAAAACAAGCGATAACGTACGCTGAAGGCAGTCGGCACTTATAAGGTCTCGACATTTTTCATGAACCTTTACTGAGCACTCTCGACACTTCAAACCTACAAGCAATTCAGCTACAGTTATTCATTGAACAGAAATATTCCTTAATCCAAAATAACCGATAAACCGTAATGAACAATTTTTAAAAAGATTGAACACGTCGCTAAGAAAAGTTTTTACATTGAAAAAAAAGTGTTCATTTTCCTTCGACTGCCAAAAAACTTTAGTTTAAATTCTTCTGCTAAATACAACAAGTTCTTTCATTGAAACATTTGTACTTGTAAGCGTTATTAAAAAGCTGACTAGGTTGTGCACAGTACTGTAGTTAGTTGGTTACTGATTTTCAGGTCTGAAAAAATGATATTACATCAATAATTCAGACAATTCACATACCTTGCCGAGCAAGCCCCCATAGTAATCCTTCACACTCGGCACAGAAAGTTAGTTTTTGAAAGTTGGTTGTCATAAAGTTATGCGGCGTTATACAACTAATTGGATATATCAAAGCTTGCAAACATTTTCTGTAGACGTGCATCTTCTGCAATGTTTACAGCAGCGGTAATTTTGCTGACAAGGTAACTATTTCATTTACAATAATCCAGCATGTAAAGATTTTTATGGTGTAAATTAGTGCGCACGCAAGAAACTGTTAGAAAAGTTAATTTGTCAAAAACAATTTCAGACGTCCTCTACTCCAGCGTTTTTATTAAGAATAAAAAATTGTTGTTTTTTCCCGGCTATTATCCTGTACAAATTACCAGTTCATTGTCGCCGAAAGTAGTTTGAGCAGCTTTCATTAGACCCGCTTGAGCTCGTTTTGTAGCCATTGTCTAGAAGAACTTCCGTCAACCACAAAATTCAACTTGAAAGGTGACAGCAAAAATAAAATAAAATTCTAACAGTCCCAAATTAAAAAAAAGAAACAAAATTAAAAATGTAGCCAAGCTAATTAGAAAAAATAAAAAAAAAAATCGACAAGAGTTATTTGCAAGCAAAGCAACAAAAGGATTAAAATGTCTAGAGATTGTTAGTTCATACTGTTCTAAAAGCTAAACTATTTTTCTAGATTAATCAACAAACAACAACTTTTCTAAGCACTACAATCACAACTTTCTAAAGTTGGCATTCATCAGCAGTTTTGGCTAATCAAGTTTAAAAATG